CAGGGGCCACCCCCCTCCCCTACAAGGCCTTACAACTCCATTGAATAGACTTAATTTGAAGCACTGTCAAAGAAATGAGTTTCCTATTAGAAATGTGGACAAGGGACGCAACTAGATTATAATTAAGTCTGTGTTCTTACTTGTGAGTTATTATGAATACATGTTCGGGAAAGGAGCTGAAGAATATATCTATACTAGGAACCAACAAAATGAAATTATTACATCTGGGGATGCTAATCCAATATGCCAGCAAACTATCTTAAAAACGTGATGAAACTAATTAGATCTTTATGTATAAAATTTGCAACCCATATCTTTTTTAACTGCATTTGATTCATTACTTTCAAATCTAACACCAGAAAAATCTTTCCATATTGAATGATCTCCCAATAGAAAAGCCCATTGACCTGTTTTAATTAAAATATATATCAGTTAAAAAATAAAGTCTTTTTTTTTTCTTTTTTACTGTTAGGAGTAAAGAGGAAAACTAATAATTATCTGTATTCATAAAATCATACTGTGTTACATAATCTTGCAGATTGTCCAGGTTCTTTGTGGTATAGAACTGATTACTTTTTAAAATAAGTGAATCACCAATTAGGCCATAAAGACTTTTATTCTGTATAGATGCTTTTTTGTTTCAGCAAGCTTTTGTGTTTGTTTTTTTTTTTAAATTGTGGTGAGGGGCGCCTGGGTGGCTCAGTCAGTTGAGCGTCTGACTTTGGCTCAGGTCATGACCCAGTGGTTCATGAGTTTGAGCCCTGTGTTGGGCTCTGTGCTAACAGCTCGGAGCCTAGAGCCTGCTTTGAATTCTGTGACTCTCTCTCTCTGTCTCTCCCCTGCTTGTGCTCTCTGTCTCTCTCTCTCTCTCTCAAAAATAAATAAACATTAAAAAAATTTTTAAAAACCTGTGGTGACCTCATGTGTCTTTTTTGAATAAGTCAGACAGGCAGGCAAACTCCAGCCCGTGTGTGGATGGGTGCTCATTTCTGGGTAGGAAGGTATGATATTCATTGTCACAAAATAAAGACACCCACAGAGTAGAATCTAAAAGTTTTAAGATAGTTTTTACCCTGATTTCAGAGAAGTGACATTAAAAAACCCCACAAAGCCCTGTTCAATTGGTAGCTCTTTCTTTCTAATTTATCAAAGCGAGAAGGTCAAAGTTGAAAATTTGTACATCTCTTATAATGCACTTATACTGTGTCTCAGATTTAACCACAGGTGGGAGAATCTTTGCACGTGTGGTATGCTGGACCTCTCTAAGAGGGAACATTTCAACAAGCTTTGAATGATCCTTAATATTTTACTTTTTAGTTTGGGTCAGGACTGAATAAACCTGCAAATGAACAAGTCAGATTCTCTATGTGGGCTATACAATGGACACACATGACCAAATCCTTGTGCATAGTTAGTAAACAAGTTTAAGTACAGGAATGTATCTTAAAGCATGGATTTTATGGAGTGTTTGAAATATTTCCTCATAGATATCCATCTTCAGGATTTTAAAGTTGTAACTCAAATGTGTATAGGATTTCCCTTTCCTACTGAGTGTATCTGACACCTTGTAATTACAAATTTAGCACATATTCACTCTTCTCCCTCTCCTATGCCTTTGCTTACCTCAAACTGCCGGGACCTACTCTCCAAGGGTGGGCAGCTTTGAGCCCAGTGGAAAAGTACCAGGTTTGTGGTAAAGAGGAACAGCCTGAGGCTATGTACTTAACTACAGTCAGATTCAAGTTCTTCGATATTCCAGTTAGTAAATTTTCTATCTTCTCTCTGCCTCCATCTCCCTATATGTAAAATGGGGCTATTTACATTTCCTTTTAGAGTTGTGATATGGGTTAATTGGAATAGTATATGTTAAAGATCAAAATTAGCCACGCTTCTTTCCCTCCCAATGCCACCTTCTCCACAAATCTCTTCTAGATCTCACCCATCACCCCCCGGTAGCTAATGGTAACATCATCTTCCTTTGAATGCTCGTGACACTTCATCTGTCCCTCATGGATTTCAATGCCCTGTGTTGTTCACTCTGTTTAATAAACATTTGTTGGCCATTTATTGTGTGTTAGGATATAGATATATTTTTTTCCCCTTTTCCCCCTAACTAATCCTTAAGCTTGAAGTTAGAGTCTATATAATATCTATCTCCTCCTCCCATTGTCTAGTGTTTAAACCCCTGATGTTGAATAAGAATGTACTTGTTAATTGTTTGCTATTTAGTAAAATACAACTATTTGGTAACACTGGTCACTGTATAATGCAGACAATATCTGTATGCCCATTTTCACATAAGTCCACATCCTCAAATAGGATTATGAGCTGGAATTTATGTTCATATGTAAGGCCAATGCATGGGATCCTCATCATTTTCATCCTCATTATTAATTACTACTACTACTACAATAATAAAGTAATAGTTAACATCCCTGAGATTATGAGCAGATGAGTAGAATATTCTCTTCCCATTCCGAGTCCTTAGAATAGTTCCTGCTAAGAGCAGAGCATGGTTTCCAAACAGAAGGCGAACGAACAACTGGGCTGTAGCTACATCTCTGTGGAATTATATTAGCACAAATCTAAGCACATTTTCAAAGAACTGTGGCTTATAAATAAAGACTCTCTCATATATACAATACTATGGCTCGATGAACTCTAAAGTTTCAGGGGAAATTACACAATTTCCAAATGAGGCTGTGTGTACACAACACCAAGCCATCCGAGTGCAAGCCTGAGCACATCACTTAGGAATGTGGTCTTTGCTGGCCCAGACGTTGCAAGTCGTTATTGGAAATATGTAATGTGGTTCTGACGCTATTTTACTACTCATGGATGAACTGTGCTGTGGTGACATTTCACTTTAATTTGCTGCTCCTAATTGACTGCAGGCAAGGAAACCAGAAAGCCAAACTGGTCAGAACTATGTTTCAAGTGAGAACTAGGCTCTGATTTAAGGCCAGTGAGGGTATCCTACCAAGGGAAGTAAACGTAAGTGGATGGTCTTCATAACATCTACCTTGAGATCTCCTTCCAAAATGGAGGAGATACAACTCTATGAATTTCACATGTCACATAAGCAATTGTCTTGGGTGACCTTTTCTTCCCCATTGCTGGGTTTCTTTTGAGAAAGAAACTTCCAAAAGAGGCTCCTGGGGTGGTGACCTGTGCCAAAGTGTCCTAGTTGCTGCAGATCGGGCAAGACTTCAAGCAGAAATAGAGTCATGAGACTTAACAGTCCACAAGTCCCAAACAAGTTTGGCTTCTGGGCCTCTTTCATGGTCACCACTCACAACTACCTTGGGGTTCTCAGTAGACACTGCCTGCAGCATTTTAGTTCACTAGGGAGGAGGTACCAAGTGACAGAGTTTCTGAATAGGTCCTAAGCATGAAGGGACTGAGCTTGGAAATGTGCCCTCTTCTCCCGATGTGCGTTCTGCCCTTGGTGGACACTGATCAGGAGCCTGAATTTATTTTATGTTCTATATCTGGTTTTACTGAAGCAATTGGAGTTGATGCGTGTCTGGTATACCCAAGGGCCAGTCTCTGTGGTGCTCATCCTCCCTTCCCTATTCTTCTGGAACCATTCAGAAAAGGGTATGTGAGGGGGTGTGGGAGGCTTAGTGCCCAAATGCTCCACTGGAAGAATGTGGTAGAGCCAGATGTGAAATGGACCTCCCCTGAGTGAAGGATTCACAACCCAGAGCCACAGCACATATTGGCGAGGAATGGTTTTCTAACTGAACTCTGGGTTTGTAACATTGTGCTATCCCACATCCAAGTCAAAATGTCTGTCCAGATTAGACATCAAAACTGGCCTGTTATCATCTCTGATTCTTACTGAGCATCTTTGAAGAAGAAAGAGTCCTTTGGGGGGGCTAATTGGTCCCAGGCCTGAGAATTGGACATGGATTTCTATGGCTACTTCAGAAGAAAACTTCCAATATTTTAAACCCAGGTATCACCTAATGTTTCAACCGAAGCACGCACATACAGGGGCATCATAAAAAAAGGGAGATATGACTCCAATAGCACAGAATCAGGTTTTTGTGATAGTGACAGTAGCATAGCAAGAGTTAATGCTGTAAAATCCACAGTATTGTCAAGCATAAATAAATCCAATGAAACTTGTTCAGATAGTACTCGGGCGATACTAAAGAGCCCATTAGGAAATCTTCCAAGACCTGAGACACATAAAAACTTTATTAGATCACTGAAATAAAGTGCAAACAAGTTTGTCTTAGAAAGATCCAAAAATCTTTATGCTTTCAGTCTGACGGGCCATAAAACAGTGCCTGACAAATTTTAAGTGATATTCTAATTAATCACTGGGTTTTTATAGCGTCTTGTAAGCTGTTAAGTTAGATATTAACAAGGCAGCATGAGAGGAAATCCCCTTGTACTGAGTGTGAGTTCTAATTCTTTGCATAAACCTAATGGTCACCCAGGCCAGACTTTTACGTGAAGCATCTGCTAGGAACAGAATGGATCATTAATCTAAAAATTATCGTTATTTCATGTTGGTTAAAGTAGGACGGAAGATGTGCCCAAATTTCACAAACTGATGGGGAATTAAAACAGCTGTGTGTTTGTCTTGTACAGGAAACACTTTCTGGGGCATTTTTACACTGTGCCTTTGGTGAAATACTTTGTAATACGCTAATAACACAGCCCCCTTTAATACCATCACACACTCAGTAATTACCATGAAAATGTATGACCCAATCTTTTGAATATAAAAACTTCTGATTTATAGTCTTCCATTGGACACAGTGATGGTGTTGACAATCTAGAACAGTTTTATTCCTAGAGAGGGATTTTGTTAGAAGAGGGGACAGATTTTTTAAGTGTCTACCCTCAGGCAGTTCCAATGAGGACCAAGAACTTGTTCTCAAAGAATGGATTAAAAACTTCTTAAAAAGCAAATATCAGATTACTACTTCCGTTCTCATTTTCTAAAAATCACAAAACTCTTTTCAGTAAAGATGTTCACTTACCTCATAATACAAGGGGACACTGCTGCCTACAGTTTTCTTTGCTTTTTTAGATGTGGTTCCAAGAAGGGCATTGGACTCATTGATCTGTAAGAAAATTAAATTCATCGGTGACGAACCAGAGAAGTGTACTTAAAGAACAGTTAGGTATACGTAAATTTCAAATACTTAGGTGACTTGAAGGGTTGGGAAACCTAGCAAGGAAGAGATCTTCATTAATTAGGTAAAATATTTATAGTCGCTTTGGTGAAGCTGTTAGTAATTATGGGAGTATGTGCCACCTGCCGGGACTTTCCTATGTTGTCATCCCTCCTGGACCTCTGAAAGCAGGTGTCTCTGTAGACTGAATTCTTCTGGTTAGTTACGGACTTCCCTAGCCCAGTCAATAGTGTAGGCTTTTATTAGTCAATCTTTTTATTAAATAGATAATTCCTCAGAGAGCCTTGCATGGAGCCTGGTATGGCCACAGAGACTTGGTCAAATGGATGCGTGTTGAAAGGGCAATATTCACGGGCCCAAACTAATTCTTCCAGATTAAACAATTCAAATTGTTTAAAATAATCCACCCAAATCTACCAAATAGCCCCCAAATAGGGAAGTCTTATTTACTTTATTATTTTAATATGTTATTTTATGCAAAAAAAAAAAAAAAAAAAGTCCTCAAGGGGCTTAGAGGTGGGAAGGGCCAGGTACCTCCTGAAGAATGTCTTGCCACGATACGATACTGAAGTATTTGCGCTGAGGGACCTGGACAGCAAGAGTCAGGGCTCGAATGAAAAGATCGTCCTCAATCCGGTTTCCAACTACAAAAGCGATGGAGCCCTTCCAATCATTCTGTTAAAAAAACAAAACAAAACAAAACAAAACAAAAAACCAGAAGGAATTAAATTACAAATACTCCCGAGTAGGTAGTTTTGTGTCAAAGGCTTCCAACAAAAAGCAAGGTCGTGTTCACTTTAAACCTTACCTTAAAAGACAAGAGTTGAGCATATAGTGTGTATAAGTGCTTGATTAAAGTGGCCGCAAGGCGGCAGTATTGTGCCAAATTTCATGCAGCTTGACCCAAAAAATCGTTTTCTTGGGAAACTAGACCTTTTATTTTAAGGGAGACAAGTTTTAAAAAACGACATGCTTTCTCCAGAATGCTGTCCAAGAATAATTTGGTATTAGGCAGAAGTTAATTTCATGTTAAATATATATGAAGATACAGTTTTGAAAGCAGAAATCTTTGTTTTGTTCCCTAATACATCCTAAGACTATAAATAGAGCTAAGAGCATAGTAGGAGCTCAATAAATACTTTTGAATATTGGGTAATATTGAATGAGTTGCCAAACGGGCTTTTTTATGGGGTAAAACTTTAATCCCTGGAGTTTTGGTAAAGCACAGAACTAGAACACATCTTTTCCTCCTCACATAACACAAGAATCTCATTGCTAATTCACAAATGAGTATTTTCCCCTCCCAAGACATAGGCTAAAATATTACACTTGAACATGAAATTGAGCATCAAATAATTTAGAGAAATGTTACTGGATGCTACTATTCTTATTCAGTAATCCCTTTCTCTATTATAATGATAAATTCTCTTGAGAAGAAGCAGTTGGTTGGAGATTAAGAATGGAATTCACCGAATTACCCACTGTGCAGTGCTGAGAGGCAAGGTCAGGCACACCAGGTCTAGTGCTTTTGCACACTAATAACCTTATGGGGAAACGGAACAAGCAAACTTGATAAAGACATTGGGAAAGAGAGTAAATAATAAAGGAGGGCACACTAACCATGTGTCTTCTCTACACCTCACTTCTCCCATTTATAAAATAAAGGAGTTGGACAGGGCAATATCTAACATCCTCTCTAGCTCCACTCTAGAAATCTGATTCAAAAAGAGTAAAACTTCCTGTTAGTGGATTACAACACAACATCTAAGATGAGGTGAAAGGATATTACACAAATTTAATGACATGCATAATTTTCTGTGGGTCTCTATGATTTCTGTCCTGTCCATGGGCAGGGTGGTGACAGAAGTAGGATTTGGGGGGAAGCAAAGTCCTTAGTGCAAATTCTTCCTTAGCATCAAATAATCAGTACCCTTAGTCTCTTTCTTCTTTCCGTGGAAACTTACTAACTACCTAACAAAACCCACCAATGTTCCATTCAAAACAAAAACCATGTGTGAAAGCAGAAAAATATACACTTTGCATATTTTATCTACAAAGTGTATGTGTGTGCGTCTCTGTTATACTCGGTTTAAGGCCTTTTTCGTTTGTTTGCTAATTCACCATAGGAAGACTGAGCATCTGCTTTTTAAAATATTCTGATTTTGAAAAGTAGGTATGACATATATAATGTATTCTTTAGCCAAAAAAAAAAAAAATCCACTATCACATGACTTTTTCTGCCTTGGATGCCTTTCTTTTTACTTGTCCGCTCGCCTAAGTCAACACTGCAACTATAATCATTAAAGAAGGAAAATCTCATGTATTCTCACAAGGAAGTACATGGTTCCTGAAAAGGCAATCCCCCCAGCTTCCTGTCAGTTATACTTCCTGACACCAAAGATTTTAATGGCTGCCTCTGCCTTATCCCTTCCCCAGGGCAGATAGATGTCTTTGCCAATATCTGAGACCTAATGGTAACAAGGAAGGGCTGCCTCTCCAATCTTTGGGGGACAATTCAGAAAGAGGGCATCACAGTACACCATCCAGGCACCATCAACCATTAGTATCTGGTGTCAAAGGCAGGTGTTGACTATTTCAGACCAGAAAAAAATAAGGGAGGAGGAGGAAGGAACTAACAATTATTGAAATCTGCCATGTGCCAGGCACATGTTATCTCACTGAATCCCTGGGTAATCCCTTTAAATAGGTGCACTAATACTTTGTAGATGGAAAAACAGAGACCCAACGAAGTTAAACAACTTGTTCAAGGTCATTTTGGCAGAACCTCATGAAGACCACATACATGGCTTTCAATTTTGTAATGATTTTAGAACAGTTATAGAGCAAGTCTTTGGGGTCAGGATGCCTTTCCATAATCCTTAAATTGCACCTAATGGCTACCTCATTCACAGTAAACATAATCAATGAAGATTTATATCACATGTCAAAGTGTATAAACCTTCAGAAATAGATGACGTAGTAGTAAATTCTTAAGACATCTTACAATTACTTTTTTTTTTTTAATCGATAGTTTTACAAAGGCGCAGAAGTTAAGGAAAGTCCCTAAGATTATCTCTCTCCAAGCCAAATGTTCTTGTTACTTCACTCTGGATGCACTTTAACACAAGATCTGTTCCTTTGATTCATGGCACTGTACTGAAAGTTCTGAGCCCCGTGTCTCCACTGGAAGAGGTCTGGAGAGTCCGGCGGAGACCCTGTTTTTCTCATCTGCACTTGCTCGGCCACCAAACTCCTGCTCCCAGAATAGGATCTGTTTGGAAAAATGGGACCCAGGAAGGACTTTCTCTGAGACATGGATTAGTGTCTAATCACATTGCCACTGTCCGTGAAATGGACCCATGGGACAGTTAATAATGCAAATCAAGAATGTCTACAGAGATGGGTGTGCTCACTGGCATGCTGCACTAGGGGGCAGCGACGTGTCAGGAAATGCGCAATAGTCAACTAATGAGCAAGTCCTCGCCCTGGGGTCTAATTAGGAAGAATCCTTCAATGAACAATGCTTGGCGGAAATCGTTTCTGAGTCTTTCTCTCAGGACTTCGGGATAACTGTAGATTCCAAATGTCCATGAACTGGCAGCAGTTTTCGAAATAGAAATTGTTTTGGGAAAAAATGGGACACAAATTAGATTTGGCGAAAAAGCTATTAAAAACACGCCGCCACCCATATCCCACCCCAGCACGCAGTTAAACAGTCCTTAAATTTGCGTTTACAGGGCAGCAGGAGAAATCAAGTACAGAGAAAACAAGTGTGGACCGGCCGTGGGGGGAGAAATGCACACACACCATGCACACTGGTGAGTCCTGAACACACAGCCACCTGCGGGGGAGTTTGTTTAACACAGTTCAAGAAGTTTGGGGTGACTCTTAGCTTACGCCTAGACAAAGAAAACATTAATCGTTTTAGAAAAACGAAGCTGGGTGTACCCTACGGTGAAGGATCTAGGGGTTTAGTCTGGGCACACCTCAAACACCTTGGCAAATAAAGCCGGCTCTCTGTCGCCTGGAAGTATACTGAACATGGCTATGGCGGAGTCTTGCCTTCTAGCAGTTATTGATAAAGTCATTCAAAGGATGGAATGAAGTCATGTGTGGACACAACCCATTACCTTTTATTTACTTTACCAGCCTCACCTAATGGAAGCTTTGCAGGAGGGCCCCTTAACCCAAACACAGACATCCTGGCCTTCCAAAGCAAGAACGTATTCACGTTAATGTGGAGAACCTGGGCATCTCACATGCACCCACTGTCCCAGAGACACAGGTTAGATTGGTAACTATTTTCCTTTTCCATATCACAAACTCACCAGATTTTACTTCAGCATTCCTACATTTTAATAGAATTACCAAAAATCCCCCTTCCAAAAATAAGTGAAAACTAGCTTTTGGACAATAGGAATGTGCTTCTTTCTAGTAGCACAATCAATCAGGTAGGGAAATGGCCATGGCAGGACACACGTGGGCTCTCCCTCTGCCTTTGCTGGCCTGGGTCGGGGGCCTTCTGCCCTCAAAGACCTTCCATGAGATTCCCACACTCTGTTATGTAGCACTGATCAAGCCTCGTGAGCTCTTGTGAACCAGCAGAGGTCACAACTGTTATCTGGAGGAGCCTACAAGCCCAGAGTAAAATCGATGTGACAACTGAAAAGTCAAATTCTGTTCAGAGTTATTTAACACTGTGCAGGTAAGCAGACCTATCCTTCGGGTTGATACTCTGCTGAAAAGATGACCTTCTTGTTAAGCAGATTTATTGCCAACGGGACAGGGATTTGTGAATGTCTTTCTCATACCCAGGTTTTTCCTAAAGGAGTCTTGGATCTCCATCAGCAAAAGAGTGTTAGTGTGGGCTGTTGGCCAGCAGAAGAAATGTTTTTATTACATAGAACTGGCTGCTACAATCGTATTTGTTAAAAAGGGGTTATAACTATAAAGAAGTTGGGGATATAGGTTAAAAGCAGGTATGCATTGTTATCTAATAAACAAAAACAATACAGCTTCCCAGGATATGCACTTATCTCCTTTGCCTTTACTAAACAAATTCTTATTATAGATTCTTCTCTAATTACAGACCCCTCACAATCTCTGATAAATACTGTAGTCTGACAAATGGTCATCATGCTATTAGAACTGCTTCTTACTTAGGAGCTGGTTCATGTGGCTGTCATGTTTTCTCAACTGGATCACGAGCTCAACTGGATCATTAGGTCAGAAATTAGGTTGAATGGCTTTTGTACTTCATGGTGCCCACCAGTAACTGGGAGATACAGCAGGGATTTCTATAAATATCTGTTGATCAGTATTTTAAGGCAACAGAGAATGTGCTTGGACGTTGAGATTTTGACCTGTGACTCATAAGGCACTAAAAGGTAGCGAATCATGCAACCGTGCCACATTCACAGCCCGCAGCACTGAGGTCTCATAGGAGGGAAGCAGGCTGTATCTGGTCCAGCGTGGTTTATAGCAGGCGTCTGTGACCAGGGTTTGGGGACTTCGGCCCTGCAGTTGTGCCTCTGCTAAAACAGGTTTCCTGGAGTGGCTCAGTGAGCAACCAGATGGTAGAGGAAGGAGGCAGCTCTTCCAGGTAAGAGGGGCAAAGCCCAAGTCTCAGATACAAACACGCATGGACTATAAAACCACTCCTCCCTCTCCTTTCC